AAGCACCAAAGCGCAACATCAAAGAGAAGGCCCTCATTGGCTCACTGAGTGCCATCCAAGATACACAGCCATGAGCAGGTCAAGAGGAATGGAGTTGCTCTTTTTAAGCAACAGTATAAGAGGGGCTGGCAGTAGAAGAAACTTCAAGTTCTATGGATAGTAAGCCTAAGTTGTTTACATCAAGTTCTATAGATAGTTTGCCTGAGTTGCAAACCAAATAAATATACTTATGTAGTGCCCCATAGGTAGGACTCTTACTCAGAGACTGGCCTTCTTAGATAGAGCTGGGCACATGTACTAMCATCAATTTGCTTTTCCACTTTTGAGTTCATATTTTATGAATGTCAAATGACTGATATTCATCATGAAACTGTATTTGCAGATTAATGATTTATTTGACAAAACTCAATAGAAGTTTGAAGTATTTTAATTTTAGATAGGCTATGTTTGGCTGGAAGGAAGAGAAGCTCAATCAAGTAGATTCATAAAAGAGGTGTACATTATCATGAAAGTAAATTCAGGACAGTACAGGAGACACAAGACTCCAAGAATGCACCCAGGAAAGGTGGAATTGGCTGTGGAGCCATTATTTTTGGATTTTCCTTCATATTGCCCATAAATGTGGCTCAGACACACTCCACTTTCTATTTCTTTCTATCTTGCAATAACAAGCAAATTATTTCTACATCTGTTAGTCAATTTTTTGTTGTTGAAACCAAAATACCCAAAAATAACAACTGAGAGAAGGAAAAACTTATTTGGATTTACAATTTCAATGGTTCCATTCATGGTCAGTCAGATCCATTGAACATAGCAAAAGAGCATGGTGGAGGAAAGCTTCTCAGCTCATGATAGTCAAGAAGCAGAGAGTGAGAGGAGCTGAGAACAAAATATATGATCCCATAGGCTCACCCCAACCCACCTCCTCCAGCCATGCCCCACCTGCCTGTAGTTACCACCCAGTAATCCATTCAAATTATTTATCCAATAAATGGATTAATCCATTGTTGAAGGTAGTCTCTCATGACCTAATCATTTTCATCTCCTTCATTAACACAGAAGCTTTGAGGGATACCTCATACCCAAACCATAACCAATGTTAGGGTCTGTAAACAAGTCAAGATGGTGCCTGGCAAAATGCCAGAGGGGGTGGTTTGTAAAGTAACGCCATCGAGCCAATAAGTGTGGAGATTCCTTATTGGTTGACTGCTGTATCTAGTTTATGTTAATTAAGATAAGCTGTGTGGAATGTATATATACCCCTCTGGTCCTACAATAAATGGCTCCCACTCGTGCTGTATCAATCTACACAAATTGCTTGTCCCCCCCCCCCCAGGTTATTTTGCTGCAGCCGGACTGTGGGAAAACCATGTCTTAGTTCAGATTGATAGGTTCCTTTTTTTCAAGCCAAGCCACAGCGTCATGGAGCCAGGTTTGAGAAGGCAAGGGGTAAAGAGAAGGTGTCAAGCCAAGTGGCAAAATACATGGCTGTTTCAAAGACAGGGGCTGTGGGTTACTGTGTACCTTAGAAAGGCAAGGGTCTTGGGAGGGGTCCAATGAAAAAAGCTCTTTATTTCCCTATTCTGAGCAGATTGGGAAATAAAACAGATAGGTAGACAAGAGATCAAATATTATCTCTAACTCTGATAACGAGTAAGTTGAATGATGAACCTTCATATTAGAACATAGCTGACCCCAGAAGTATGCAGACTTTCTTCCACATACAGTCACAGTAATTTCTGAGCCAAACAGAACATCTCATATAAGACGGCTTTCTAGATAAAACTTAGAGAGACTGGGTTGTAGCTCAGTGGTAGATCACTTGCCTTGCATGCTTAAGGCATTGGGTTCGAAACTAGGCACCACATAAAAATAAATAAAGATATTGTATTCATCTACAACTAAAAATATACATATATAAAAACTTAGAGAAGAGCAGAAAATAATCCCTGTTTTATTAACATAGTGTTCCCAAGAGGAAAGGGGAGGAGTGAAGCCATACATGCATGCCCAGCTTATTCTTCTCAGTAGTCACTCCTCCTCCTGTGTGGTGGAGTGAGTAGTAAAGAGGCCAGGGGTGCTACAGTAATCCAGCCCCCTTTACATGGAAGGGAGCATCAAGAGGAGAGAAGGGATAYCCTCCTTAACAATTGGCATTTCCAGCACAATAAGAACATGTATTGGCTTAGAACCACAAGATAGATTCAATACCTAATAAACACATTGATGGTTTAAAAGTCTAAACAAGTTAAGACATTATCTCTTTGAAATAAGAAGGCTTATTGTACTGGTTATCAGTAGCCGTTACCTGATTAATGAAAATGCCCACAAAGATAAATGTCATATTCTACATGCAGTATATGGATCATTAGGTAGAAAAGCATAAACTAGAAATCAAATTATATGAACAAATACCATAGGTAGAATACAGAATGGKCCAGATGTGGAAGTTGAGGCCAGTTTTACTTAGAGATATGCTGGTTGTTTTAGTCAGCTTTCTAACACTGTAATGAAATACCCAAGATAACTAACTTATGAAGAAAAAAAATATTTTGGATAACAGTTTTGGAGGTTCCAGTCTAAGATTGAGCAGGCCCATTGCTTTGGGCCTCTGGTGGGCATGTTAGATGGCAAAGGTACAGAGCTCATGGTGAAGCACAACAGTTCACCTCACGACTGGAAAGCAAAAGGAGGAAGACGAGGTTGGGGTCTACAATTCCCTTCAAGAGCATTTCCCCCAATTACCTGAGAATCTCCCACAAAGTGTCACTTCCTAAAAGTCCCCCCACCTCCCAATGGTACCACTCTGGGACCAAGCCTTGAACACATAGCCTTTTAGATCATTCAGTCTCCAAACTAGAGCATGAATGTTACATTAAAACTCTAAAAGAACTGTTCCCAATATATTTCAAGAAGAAGAGACTACTCTCTCCCAATGGGAATGAATACATTCTTTCTTATTTTGATAAGAGGAATATTCCAAGATGTCCTAAATTTAATTACGAGGGCTAGGGACAGTAGGGAAGAGAGATGGAGGAGGTTGATCAGTCAACAGCTACAGGCTGAAAAGAACAAAAGACCATGTTGTATTMCTGAATGTACATCAAAACCTTAAATCAAATCCCATCACAACCCCCTCGGTGCTACAGTGGCTTACTTACAACCCCAACCAATCCAGAAGAAGCAGCTGCTTCTCCTTATGGACAGCATTCCTATCCTGGAACTTTCCCCACTTTGCTTTGTCCCATCCCTCTCATCTATAACCAGCGGGGGCTCAATGGAAACAGATCATGTCTTTCCACCTCAGATTTTCATTATAAAAAATAGTCTTTGCTCTGGTCCAACAAACATTTTCCAACAGTTGCCTAGACTTGCTGCTAGAAGTGACAGGAGCGTGTCCCAGACCAGGTCCTCTTAAGCATCTATAATGGCTCATTAAACCCTTCTATTTCAGAGATTCCCTCCTTCTCAGGAGTTTGTGTATAATACTTACAGTTTCTTTAAATTAGACCAACAACTGCATTATTGACTGCACTCACTGTATTTACTAACATCACTTAGTATTCGATAATTGATATCTAACTCCTGCAGCTTTCTTAATGCAAAGTGGGCACAGCAAGGCTTGTGAGTATGGTAGATCTGAACCTGGCCCTCCTGCTTGCACCTACATCCTGTCCTGTGACCTTGGGCATGTTTCTTAACCTGAGTCTCTACAAATGGAGGTAATAACAGAACTTGCCTCGGGATTGCTGTGAGAACTGAGGGAATTAGTGAATATAAAACACTAAAACTAGTGGGTACACTGTGCTGTGTACCTAGTTTTGCCAGACAAGTTGAGTACTTGTGATTACAGGTGAAGAAATCAGGGACTAGTACAGAAGTGCTGTAGTAGGAAAATGCTTGCAGGGCAGAGTAGACTTCATCTGTGGACAAACATGCTTAGAAAACACTCAGTTTGGCTTGGTTTAGCAGATGAAGGAAATCGTATTGGGGCACAGGCTCATTTATGCAGTTAGTTGTGTGCCCATTGAATCAAAGCCTTGAGCACAACACACGCACAGATGATGTTTGTCCACAGAAGTTTGCCTCATTTATTCTTATTTCTTATTCACTTATACTTTCATTTCATGCCTATTTTTTCCTTTTCTTATTGTGTTTATTAACTATATATAATATGATAATATAAATCAAATTAGAATTGTCACCCAAAGTTCTGTGTTTCTTCTGAATCAAAGTGTATGCAATAAATGAAGCAGGGTGTTATGAACTGAGTGGAAAGTTCTCCCAGATGAAATGATGACTGAAAGAAGAAAATGCAGAGCAACATGTTGCGTGTGATCCCATTTATGAGAGAGAGAGAGGAAGAAAGGGAAAGAGAAAGCCAGGCCAAAAAAAAAAAAAAAAGACCCAATTAGTGTCTAAGAATACATCAAAGGACGCAAGAAATTCTGGAAGAATCTCTCACAAATCCTTATGGGGAAAGTGGGAACAAGATCAGGGGAAGGATGGGATAAGGTTCAGGGAAACTRTGGGCTACGTTTTGTTGTTGTTTGTTTGTTTTTAATTGTAGATGGACATATATCTTTATTTTATTTATTTATTTTTTACATGGTGCTGAGGATCCAACCCAGGACCTCACACATGCCAGGCCAGTGCTCCACCACTGAGCCACAATCTCTATTTTTAATTTTTACCCTAGATATATACCTATTGTTTGAATTCTTAATGACAAGAAATACGCATTTAGCCCTTGGAACAGTTTGAGAAATACAGTGAGGGAAATGGAATGAACAAAATATATTCTTTCAAATGAATTGAATTTTCCTTATTTTTTTCTTCTGTGATTTAGTTATCGAATACCATGTACTCCTAGGTATCAGTTTGATGGTTATTGTTTGAATGAAAATGTCCCAGAGGTCAAGTCTGGGGCTCAGCCTGCCATCTTGGTCCGCGGGCTGCTGTGCCATCGGGTCCACCGGGTTCCCTGGCTGTTCCCGCAGGCGTCCTTGCGAGCCTCCATCGTGGCTCAGGACTGTGCCGCCGCAGCCGCTCTGGTCTTCCTGATGGACCGCTTCCTCTACGGGCTGGACGTCTCCGGGAAGCTCCTGCAGGTGGCCAAAGGTCTCCACAAGCTGCAACCAGGGACGCCAATCGCCCCGCAGGTGGTTATCCGGCAAGCCCGGATCTCGGTCAACTCAGGTGGGTTCTCTCCCGCGGACCCGGCTGCTGGTCCGTCCGGGCGTCGCCTGGTACTTACTGCGACTCTGGGCCAGCCCCGCGCGCAGCCCGCGGGCATCGGCCCTGCGTGCCACCTCCCCGCGCCGCCCCGCCCCGCGCCTGCCCTTCCACCCGCCTCTTTGCCAGCACAAAAGCCCTGGCATAAAGGGTTTCAGAGCCAAAAGCAGTAGAGAAAATTGTGAAAGGGTGTGGAAAATACTAATTGGAGCTTTTGTCTTCTAACAAATCTGTCCTGCTGCTTTCAAACAGGGGTATCTGAATCGCTATACTTCGGACCAAGAGCCTTTAAAAAGCAGATTAGAATTCTACTATTTTCTCTTAGCGCTCCTGTCTCCTTTCTGTAGGGCCACTTGACTAAGCTGACAATGGACCTGACAAACCCACTGAAGCAATTTGAGGGTTTTTTTTTTTTTTTTCATCATTCAGAACACCGGTACAGTACCTGATTAGGTCTGAAAGTATCTTTTTTTTCCCCCCTGTCACTTTGAATGAAATGAAAAAATGAGGCTGACAGTCCAACTTAAGATGTGGAGCGGAGGGGGGAGTGAGAGGGGAGGGGAGCCTGCTATGTGTTACAGCATAGTCCATTTCCAGGGAATTCTTGAATTATTTAAATTACTGATAACCATTCCACGTAGGAATGAGTAGTCTGCTATTCTCATTTCCAAGTCTGAAAGACTGAAGCATGAAAAGAAGACAGGTTGTCCCTTCCAGAACAGGACTGGTTCCTTTTTTGATTGGTTTTACAATTACCATTATTTAAAAAAAAAAAAAAAAAAAAAAAAAACCTCTGGTCTGTTAGAGGTTAAAATCTCTTTAACTACTTCATTTCCTTTGAAAAGGAACTGTAGTAATCAAACTAAGTAGGACAATCACTGAATGCCAAAGCGACAGATAAAAGGACATGGGAGAAATGGGTTTGTGGAGGTTACCTTTTCAAAAGCTCAAGTTCACTCACTTTCAAGTTCTGGCAACTGTGCATTAATTGAGCCCCGCCCCCCATCTTATTACTGACTTTTCTAGAGTAACTGCAGGGATAAAGTTGAACTTAGGAAAAATGTCTTCTTTCAGTTGTCCCTGATAACATTTATAATGTTTGAAGCATGAGGGGAATCAAACAATTAGTGTTCCCTCTGGTAGTGTCAGATGACAGTGACATAAGCAGAGCATTCTCTGGGGGACAGAATGATTAGGCCTGGCATGTGCCACCAGGCTTGCAAGGTGAGTCCCATCAAAAAGAACTTGAAATAGGGCTGGGGTTGTGGCTCAGTAGTAGAGCACTTGCCTAGCATGCGTGAGGCACTGGGTTCAATTCTCAGCACCAAATATAAATAAGTAAATAAAATAAAGGTCCATCAACAACTAATAAAAATAATTTAAAAAGACCTTGAAATAGAATTACATCACATATTTACATATTTTGCAATATACAGAGCTGCTATGATGTGACATGGAAATTCAAATCAAATGATAAGAAGGTATGTTTATAGTTTTGCTTTCAAACAGCCACACTAAGTTGCTAAGTTTTCTTTTGTTGTTGTTGTTTTTTGTTTTGTTTTGGTTTGGTTTTGGTTTTGTTTTTGTTATTTCTCTCATATCTCTAACCAAGATGGTACAGTGGTTTTCTCCTGATAATGGACAAGCCTTGATAGCATCATGAATGGTACGCTTTTCTGCTCACATTGTCATGTGCCTAAGATAAAAGTCCTGGATCTTATTCCCCAATAGTTGAGGTTGGCTTTTCATCAAAGACACTTCAAAAAGTGTCACAAGAAGAAAAACTCAGCCTCAGAGTTAAGTCTTCCTTCTAAACTTCTGCCCCCAAACATCACTGAAGTCTCCGCCTATACTGCATGTATGTGGGGGTGGGGAGCTGGATTAGGGCTTGAGTGTGGAAAGGATAAGGATGTGTAGGGGTAAGGGAAGAAGGTAAAGCGAAGAGGGAGGAGGATGCTCAATCCCAGCCTTTGGGAATCTTGGAGTAGATAAATGAGAGGGATATTGCATTMCAAGGAGTAAGAAGATCAATAAAGGTGATAGGACAGGACAGCAGTCTTCCTATGAGCCCCTTTGATCCAGCCCTTCCTGATAAGTAACCAAGACAGCAACATAATGGGAGGTCAGAATCAAGAGAAGACTCCCTGGGCCTGCCCAGCTCACTCTCACCTGAAATTAGTAGGAGACAACCCTTTTAAACCACAGTGAGAGATAAAGGCTCAGACTTTCAATTCCATGAACATGAGCAGGTGCCAAGTCTTCTCCCACTACAAATACATAAATGATATATGTATATTGAAGAGATATATATATCTCTTAACCACTGATTCACATCCCTGGTCCTTTTTATTTTTTGTTTTAAGACAGGATTTCACTAAGTTGCTTAGGGCCTTTCAAAGTTGTTGAGGCTGGTCTCGAACCTGCTATCCTCCTCACTTGGTCTCTCTCCTGAGTCACTGGGATTACAGGCATGCGCTACCCTACCCAGTAGGTGAAGATATTTTTTAAGTACCTGATCATAGGTGTTCAAAGTCAAAGCATTAGATTACTGCATGTGATACTTGTAGCCATAGGGGTTTGCAATTGGATATAGTCCTAAGGGAAGAGGCTGTCATTTTAATCCCTGTGCAGAGACAAGAGGCAGGGCCTTGGGCCCACATGAGGCGTGAAATACTTGTATAAAGCTGGAATTCTTAAATTATTACATAGGCCATGAAAGGGGGCCCAGAAGGAAACAAATCAAAAAAGCCTCCTAAAATAAAGAAAAATTTCAAGTCTATGCCAAATGTCAGTGTGGAGTCTGAATTTACCTTTATCACAAGACAAGAAATCCCCCACCAACTAATTAATTTAAAAAAAAAGATTTAAGACTGAGATTGCTGGGGCTCAGGGGGAAATCAAGTATAAACTATGCTCTGGAGAAACATCCTCACTCTTGGGTGTGGGAATCCCATTGGAAGATATTCTTGGCAGAGCGGGGCACTGTGGTGCATGTCTGTAATCCTAGCAGTTTGGGAGGCTGAGACAGGAGGAAGAAAAGTTCAAAGCCAGCCTCAGCAAAAGCGAGGTGCTAAGCAACTCAGTGAGACCCCACCTCTAAATAAAATTCAAAATAGGGCTAAGGAAGTGGTTCAGTGGTCAAGTGTACCTGAGATCAATCCCCAGTACCAAAATATATATTTTTTGACCAAAGATGATCTTATATTAAATATTTTATAATTATATTATTGTATTTACTATTTTAATAAGCAAAGAAAGAAACAAAACACGAGAGCAGCATCTTATCCAACACACAATGAAAGTGGGCTGCAACATTAAGGAGAGTACCTGCAGAACAACTTGACAGACTCATGGAGCTTTAAAAAATAGTATATTTAAAAGACTAAAACACAAAAGAAAAATAAATGAATTTATTCATGTGAAAAAGAACTGAACAGAACTTTCAGAAATTACAAATAAAATTGAAGTTGCAAATTGAATTTATAATTGAAATTACAAATCAATGTGTTTCTCAGAAAATAATGGTGATTTATGAGGAATTATCCCCATAATGAGAAAGCATACAAGTTGTTGTTGATGTTGTTGTTTTTGTTGTTGTTATTATTACTACTATTATTTTGGAGGTACAGGATACAAGAATTTATCTGCAAAACTATGGATAGAGACAGCCAGAAAATCCAACAGTTATCTTACTGGGTGGGAAAAGCTTCCAGCATTTCTAGTACTAAAAAAATAATTGCTTCATTAGGGTGAATACAAGAAAATAACTCATTAGAAAAATGAATTTAAAAGATATTAAAATGCTGCTTTGAAGTATTTATTAGTAGCTTCAAACATTATAAAATTATCTTGATAAATGACTATAAACATTTCTCAATGCTCACTGTCAGTTTCTCATTTAATCTCATCTCAGGCCACTAACAAAAAGGCACATTGAGGAGCTCTGTGGAGTGGTGCCTCCCAACTTCCATGGGTCTATGAATTCCCTGGTGATCTGACTAAAAGTCAGATTCTGATTCCTAGGTGTGGAGGAGGCATAGATAGCATTTCTAGCCAGCTCTATGACCTGACTGCTGCTGTTCGGACTTCTCATGAGTATCAAGGGACCAGCTAAAGAGTCTAACAATGTGCCTGCCTGCCTGCCTGCCCACCTGGTACATATGACTGGCAATAACCCAAAGATCAGCTCAAGTTTCCTGGGGCCTCTCTCATAGGTGTGACCTACCTGAAAAGTATTTCTGCAACATGTTTAAGAGCAGGAGAGAAGATCATGGGACTAGAAATTGTATTTAAAGAAAATATTGAGGCCAGGCACAGTGATGCATGCCTGTAGCCCCAGCTACTCAGAAAACTGAGGGAGCAGGATAAAAAATYCAAGGTCAGCCTCAGAAGCTTAGCAAGACCCTGTCTCAAAATTCAATCTTTTTTTAAAAAAGTCTAGAGATGCAGCTCAGTAGTAGAGTACCTGTGGGTTCAATCACCGGTAACATGAAAAAATAAACAAATGCCTGAGATTTGCACAGAGTTAAGCAGATGAGTGAGTATATGAAAGAAATTTTAGAAGTTCAAATAGAATGAGGATACACTTTTAAGACTTCTAGGAAGAACAAATAGATTTAGAACTGGAGAAAAACCATAATTCTTTACGTTAAAGAAATATATCTAACCTTGAGGAAAAAAAAGACCCACATTTAAAAAATAAATCTACACCTGGACACTGTGGAAAAACTACAGAAAATCAAACAATTAGAAAATCTTAAAGGAAACAGAGAAAAGACAGATTTTAGATTATTATTAATAATAAAGATTTTGTTGGCAATAACAGTCCAGAAAGCAAAAACATCTACATAAAATTAAGAGGAAATGACTTTCCATCTAGAATTTTACACCCAGCAAAAACATCATTCAGAATTGAGGATACAATAGACATTTTCAGACAATAACTAAAAACATTTATTTCCCTGAGACATTGTGCTCTGTTGTAAAGACACACACACACACACACACACACACACACACACACACACACACAGGTTGTATTTTTGTAAGGAGGAAATTAAATCTAGAAGATGGACCTTCTAAGGCACAGATCAAACAAGGTACACTGTGTCACTTCTGCCATATACATTGGTCATAAAACAGGTCATAATGCCAGTTCTTGTTCAAGGACAAAGGAAGTAAAATCTAGATTCGTTTCCTTAATGAAGGCCATGCTGCAAAAAAGCTGTGGATAGAGGCTACTGTTGGGACCTTCTGTGGGAACACAATCTACTCCAGTCAGGGTGTATGTCTGTGTGTGCAGTTTGAAATTGTGTGGTCAGGAACAGCCCACACAATTAGGAGACAGTGACATTTGTTCAAAGACCTGAAGAAGAAGGGCACACCTTAGAGATATTTGGGATCATGGCATTCCAGGCTGAAATCATTGTAAGTATGAAGACCATGATGGGGAGGACAAGCCTAGCTGACAGTAAGGAGCAGTACTGAAGTAGAGGGAATGAGAGGGAGGGGCCAGGTCACCTGGGGTTTAGAGCTACCTGGAAGAAAGGAGGGTGAAAGGGTAACTGACCGAGTTTCCTACTTATGGAAAACAGCTGTTTATAGACAAGGCCTCTCCCTAGTGGTGGCAACCAAAATAAGTCAAAAGCTTTTAAAAACCCCAAACTTCCCCACTCTTGAACAAAAATCCCTTTGTGATAAGTCTGTAAATAGTCCTGTTCACGAGCAATTCTATCAGATACAGTGTTCATAGAGAGGAGCACACACTTTTACAAAGGTTTGCCTCTACTACTTAAGCCCCGCTATGTAGGAAAAAAAAAAATATATATATATATATATATGAGCAATTCCATATATATAACAATAGTATCTCTATATGTGTGTGTATATTCAGAGTGGATATGAAATGCCAATTATATTTGTTTATATACATATGATCATACATACATAATACATACATTCACATGCATACATATATATATATATATATATATATATATATATATATATATATGAATCTAATTACCATTGCAGATACTCTGTAATCACCCATCTGACCAATTTTTGAAAACTTCAGCTTTCTTTTTCAGTTTTATATATGAAACAGTTATTGTTTTTAAGTTTTAAAATAGAATATTTTCCAGAAAGGCGATGTTCTCTGTTACAATGCATCAACTTTAAAGCATTTGTAGTATTTAAGTACATGTTCAGAACTAACTGTGTAGCATTTGGTTGCTTCCTTTCAGGGAAACTTTTAAAAGCAGAGTATATCCTGAGCAGTCTAATAAGCAACAATGGAGCAACAGGTACGTACTGTCACCTGTCACGTTTCCCCAGGACTCCTACCATCAGACCCTATCAGAGTTCTAATTTAATAACAACTTAGTGACCTTAATGTTTGACCCCACAGGAGCTTAACCACTGAGGCACATTCTCAGCCTTTTTTTATTTTTTATTTTGAGACAGGATCTTACTGTTGTTTAAGGCCTCAATAAATTACTGAGACTGTCTTTAAACTTGGGATCCTTCGCCTCAGCCTTCAGAGTTGCTGGGATTACAAGCATGTACCACCGCACTTAGCCTATTTTTTGCTACAGACAGCTTTCAGATCCCATCCACCCTCATCTCCTTTTGCCTCACACCAGAGAGGTTGAATTTTTTTAAAGGACTACTCATCCACACACCACAGCCTGACTTGTCCAAATCTTAGCTGTGTCACCAGTTCCTGAGGAGCCTTGCGATTTGGATGTAACATGTATGAATATTAACATTTTATATTCAAAATATATAATAATTATTCTTAGACAACACTGTCTCTCAAATCTGTGTCATAGTGCCCATGAAAGCTTCTGGGGAAATATGTTTATTTGCCAGGCACTAGAGCACATGCCTGTAATCCCAGCAATTCGGGAGGCTGAGGCAGGAGGATCACAAATTCAAGACCAGCCTCAGCAACTTAGGGAAGCCCTAAAATAAAAAAATAAAAAGGGCTGGGGATGAAGCTCAATGACAAAGTGCCCAGGGGTTCAATTCCTAGTACCAAAAAAAGAAAAGAAAACAGGTTTATTTGAGCAGGCCATTTTCTTAATAAACCCAGGAAATTTTTTTCCTTCTTGTATTTTAGGTACCTGGATATACAGAAATGAAAGTGATAAGATCCTGGTACAGTCAGTCTGTATACAGATCAGAGGACAAATTCTGCAAAAACTAGGTAAGGCATTCCTCTCAAGGCCGATTTACAAAGTCTGGCTACAAGATTTTGCTTTGGAATTTTCTTATTATATATGGCTAAAATGTTGATCCCCACATGCCTGAGTTTACTCACTGAAAAGAGTATGACATTTCAATCTCAGGAGCTGAGCTGGTCATGGTAGCACGTGCCTGCAGTCCCAGCTCCTTGAGTGGCCGAAGCAGGAGGATCATCTGAGCCCAAGAATTCTAGACCAGCCTGGACAGCATAGCAAGACCCTCATCTAAAAAATAAACAAATAAATAATAATAATAATAATAATAATAATAATAAAATTTTTTAAAAAATAAAAGAACCCACAAAGATCCTGGAAGTGTTAAGAATATTAAAAAAATAAAATATTTTTATTGATTTTGTTAGAGAAATTTACAGTTGTATATTATAGCTGTTAATGACCAACTTCTCAGTATTATTCCTAGCCTCTGACTCAGTTCAGCGGATTTGGTATATATAGTTACACATCATCTCAAACCCTCTGTAACACCTTATTTGTTTGATCTTTGGGGCAGTCGTGAATTTTTTCAAGCAAAGTTTATGGACCCTAATTATATTTTAACATGCAATTTTAAGGTTAAACATTCGAAAAAAAAATAAGAGAAGATAATAATTAGGATTATTGTAAGCCATGGAAAAAACTATATGTAATATGTATGAATATTAACATGTTATATTMAAAATATATAATGATTTTATTGTTTCCTAAGTAAGAAAATGGGAAAGTTTTCTATATTAAATCAACTGAAAAAAAACATAAATTGTTGTGTCCACCTAATCTAGCCCTGAGTTTTCCCAACAGAACCTGAGGAGTCTTCTTTCTGTAATAGTTTTCTAAGGTATCTTCTAACACCAGAGCACAGGTATGAGCTGCTCCTCCCTGCTCCTCCTTGTTCTTTTTCAGGCATGTGGTATGAAGCAGCAGAGCTGATATGGGCCTCCATCGTGGGATATGTGACACTTCCTCAGCCAGATAAGAAGGTCCCTTGTCTCATGCTTCTTTTTCTAATTTCTCATATTTGTCTTTGGATGATTATGTCCTTAGGGTGCAATTCATTTTCCATTTAGCGATTCCATCTGTGTTGTCTGTATTTATTCTATATGAGCACAAGACCAGAAAATTTAGTAACTTGCGTCTGTGTCTTGCTCTGTCCTTGCTCACAGTGAGCTCTTGGCATATATTTAGTGTCTCTGTAATAATTTATAACCATCTATTTATTTCTCTCTCTCCTGGTCCATTCATTCGTTATTGTTCATTTAGCCTTGCCCAAGCTGCTTATATGTAAAATCATTCTTTGAGTTAAGTGGGCACAGACTTCAATGAATGGTTTATGTAGCATTTTTAAGCTCTCCTATTTTTGCTCTCCTATTTGATCTTTTCATTTTCTATAATTTGGGGGGAATATTCTCCTCCTTACCTGAAGCCTCCGGTTATTTATTCCATTTCCCTGAGCTGGTCAGCAGTGTTGCTGCCTATGCTTTTACAGCGTGGCTAGGATCTGATGGGAGATCCCTTTCTTGGGCCAATTATTCAGGCCAGCAGTATAAGCAAGTATGAATCATGTGAAACCCAACTAAAAATAATTGTGTTTACCATCAGTTCCTGTGTCTCAAGAGGTGATGGTCTTTCAAGCCCAGTGACATTCAGTTCAAAAGTACCTTCAAGGGCACAGTAATAATAATGATTATTATTAAAATAATAGTCAAAGGTTCATATGGAGGGATCATCGTGGTCTGTAAGCCATGAGATGAGAGCCGCCCTGAATTCTAAGTCTGATTTGTTTGTGATTTCTTTACAGGGCATTTCCACATCACTTGGAATCCTGGCAGACATCTTTGTTTCCATGAGCAGAAAAGATTATGAAAAGTTTAAAAACAATCCACAGATTAACTTGGTAATTATCATATGCCAAAAACATGGCTCAGACTGGCACCATCTAGGCATTGCCAATGTGATTCCTGGTGTTAAAGAGTTAAGCACTTTCTGAGGAGACTGGGGGTCAAGGAGCAGAGAATCTCCTCTTAGATTAACAGGAGAAGTCCTGGAGACAGGTCCAGTGGTATCTTGTTCAGCTTTATTATCCCAGCACCTAGCATAGAATCAGGAAACACAAGGTACTAAACATTTTTTTTTAGTGAATGAATAGAATGAATATCCTTGAAGTGATTTTGAGTCCTATTTATTTCATTTCAAATTATCACAAAATTCCGTTTCTAAATTTGGGTCATCTTGATGATAAAGGGGTAAAAATTTAAAACCCATCACTATTCATTCAAATCAGTTCACCCATCAGTCATTTAGTCCAGGCTGTTATCATTAATAAATAATGATGACTAATATTTACATATCACTTGCAACTCAAAAAAAAATGTGTCTAGCCACATAAACCCTATGAGGTAGACAGAGCACAATGTATCATTCCCATTTTAGAGAGAAATAGACTGAGGTTCAGAAAAACTAAGTAACATCTGCAGTTTGCACAACCAGTAAGAGAAGGAGAACAGAGCCCGGGTCTCTGTCACCTGGAGCATTGGTGTTGACATTGAACTTCTCTCCAGGCAGCATTGAAATGAAGACTTTTTTTTTTTACAATTGCCATTTCTACTAAATACCCAAAATGACTATTTAAAACTGCAAACTTCCTTCCCAATCCAGACCTCTGTAACCCCTTCTCTACTTGCTTTTCCTCCAGAACTCTTATTATCTCAGATACTAGGCATTTTATTTGCTTTTTGTGTTGACAAATCCCTCTTCCCAGTAGAAAGTAAACTCACAGCAGGCTCCCTGTTCTATACCTCCCTGAGTCTAGAACAGTACCTGGCCTGTGCAGTTATTCAATGCAGGTTTCTAGAATGAGTGAAGGAATCCTCATTGCTGTGAAGGACTCTTGGCCAAGAACAATGCAAAATGCCTCAATTAACCTGACTACAAGATACAAAGAGTTCATGTAAATGAAGAACTGCCACCATTTTAAGGACATTTGATTCACTTACACAGGCAGGAACTATAAGTATTGTCACATACTAGGCCCTCTCTGGAGTGGAGAGGTGGAATATGAAGAGTGTGTCCACCTGGGGGAAAGGACGATGGGCACCCTGGGGTCTTTAAATCCACTTACTCTTTCTTGGTGCTGTTCTAAAAGGTTTGTGATGAGAAGCAAGGGGCCCTCAGGATCCTAAAAGAAAAGCAAAGGGACTCCACCACCTGTTTTTGCTAATGGATGAATCTTCACCCTCCACTTTGCCTCCCGTGTTCTTACAGGGCTTGCTCAAGGAGTTTGACCACCATTTGTTGTCGGCTGCGGAAGCCTGCAAACTGGCAGCTGCCTTCAGTGCCTACACACCCCTGTTCGTGCTCACAGCTGTGGTAAATAGAGTGCAGTCCCCCCCCCCGTCCCTTTCTTGGGGTGCCCCCCTCTGCAACCAGTGGGAGGGAAAGGTGTAGGCTTAAAGTAAGCAGTATGCCTCGTGATTGGCAGCTGTGATGAGACTTGCCATGGGAAAAAGTGCTCAGTTAGAGTGGCCACATCCTGATGGGAGCTAAATTATTCAGCCCAAGCACAGAATGTTTCCTGTTCTCGAATAGTGGTTTCCAAGCCTGACAGCACATTAGACTCACCCAAGGAGGCTCTTCAAAATGCATACTCTTGGGCTCTATCTTAGGTCCATTAAATACAAATCTATGGGATGGATATCCAGCGATCTTCCACTTTGAAGTACAATTGGTCCTCCATGTCTGTGGATCCCAAATCTGCAGATTCAACCAACCTTGGATTAAAAATATTGATGGGAGCAAAAAGTTGAATCCATACTAAACACATGCAAACTTTTGTGTCCTTGCCATTATTCCTTGAATAATGCAGTACAGCAACTATTTACATAGCATTTACTTTGTATTAAGTATTGTAAGTGACATAGAGATGATTTAAAGTACGTGGGAGGATGTACATAGACTATGCAAATTCTATGTCATTTCATATAAGAGACTTGAGCAGGCACAGATATTGGTCTCCATATGGGGTCCTGAAACCAATCCACCAATACGGAGGGATGACTCTTATTGCAAAGATGATTCTAATGCACAAATGGATTTGAAAACCTCTATTGTTTGGGCTATTGTTAAGTGAGTGATGTGTTAAAACAACCTTACTGCATAGAGAAACTTATTATGTCCATATTCCATGTATAGATTGTTTGCTAAAACAGCAATGGCCATACTTCTGCCATCTTTAATCAAAAAAGTATCAGGGCTACAGTAGGAAGCCTTTAAAGCTAATTTCTTATCCCTTCATACCAGCTAATCCCTTACCTCCCAGTCTTTTCTTCTGATTCACCAAAAAGACATCAATCCTTAACTCAAAGTGTGCATTTCCCTCAGAAGATGTGTGGCATCTGTTTATTGTCCCATAATATTTCAAATGATTATCTTCTAGGAGGGAAAAGTTTATCCTGATTTGCTTTCAGTTTGCAACTCAATATCTGACTCTATGTTTGTATTTTCCACAGAATATCCGTGGCACATGCTTATTATCATATACTAGTTCTAATGACTGTCCTCCAAGAATGAAAAACTTGTATCTGTGTGAAGCCAAAGAGGCCTTTGAGATCGGCCTTCTCACCAAGAGAGATGATCAGGTAGTTACCGGAAAACAGGAACTTCATAGCTTCATCAAAGCTGCCTTCGGTCTCACCACAGTGCACAGGAGACTCCACGGAGAGACGCACGCAGTCTGTGCCGCGAGTCAGCTCTGTAATGAAGCCATGAAGAAGCTGTACACTTTCAGTACTTCCTCCAGAAGTCAGGACAGAGAATCTCTGTCTCGAGAGATCATGTCTGTTATCAGCCAGGTGAAGGATCATTTACAGGTCCAAAGCTTCTCAAATTTAGATGACAGATCTTATGTCCCAGAGAGTTTCAAGTACGGATTGAGTCAACCTATCTTGCATGGACAAGTGGATTTCCATAAAATCCTTGAAACCTATTCACAGCACCATACCTCCATGTGTGAGGTTTCTGAAAACATTTGTGGAAACAACAAAAATAAACTAAAAGACATCAAAACAGGAGTCTGTATCACTGCTTTAAAAACAGAAACAAAAACCACAGATACGATGACTGCTACTCAAGACAAACCACGCTCACAAAAAGGCAAGGGTCCAGAGATACTCAGAAGGGTAGGAAGGAGAAACTGGACCCATTCTGAGGCATTCCGAGTCTCCCTGGATCAAGAGGTGGAGACTGAGACTGAGCCGCCTGACCACAGCAATGTGGGGGGAGATGTCTGCCACAAGTCTCTGAGCAACAGCCAGAGCACCAGTACTTGGAGCAAGTTATCGGGGCTTAGTTCTTCTTCAAGCTGGGAGGAAGTGAATTATCCTATCGATGACAGATCAGCTAGGAAACAATCTAGCAAAGAAGAACATCTTGTGGACACCCAGTGTTCCACTGCCCCATCTGAGGAGCTGGAGAACGGCAGGGATCACAGAGCTGTGCGATCATTGTCTTCAGAGCTTCACAATGTTTCTCTCCAAATATCCCCAGATGACAGTTTAAAGCCTTCTCAGGGTCAACCACACAAACGCATGCCCTTCACAACCTTCTGTCCTCACAACACAACCCACACGGGCTTGRTCTCTGATGCAGGGCTAACAGAAGAAGCTCCAGAAGGTATCCAGGAAGTCCAACATGCAGGACCTGGCCATACTTCTGCTCACTTCCAACCCTCATGTAGTTCTGCTTCTTGGTCTTCGGATTCTGGTAGGTTCAAGCACATGGCCACCTGTCCTTCGATCCAAGAAGACTTTGAAATAATTGATGATTTTCCAGAAACCAACTGTGATGTCAAAGACAGACACGGGAAAGAAGAGGGAAAAGAACTCCATGAGAAATATGTGGGCCCTGTATTTAAAGAGAGCTTCTTCTGGGTGGACCCAGAAGGAGAAACAGAGGAAAGCACAAAAGATGTGCCTTTAGACTCTGGTGTAGTCGTGGGCAGTTCTCAGGGCCACAGTTCCATGTTGGCATGTAGCTCTTTCACTTATCAGCCTGTTCAACATCCTGACTCAGGAAAGGCGGGTGGTGGCTCAGTCAGGAAGCAGGGCATTGACCCTGATGCCCCAACAGAGGATGAGGAGGGCCACCTCTTTGACAGCACAGATGTCTGCTCCTCAGGTGGACATGACTCTCCTAGACCATGCACCATGGGACAGCCACCTGGTCAGAGGACTGAGACCCCCAGTTCCTCTGTTAACAGTAACATTCCCTTTCCTGTGCTCAGCGAGGACGGTGCCACCACAGAAGAAGGAAATGAACCCGGACACATGCTAAACTGCAGCCAGAGCTCCAGCTCATCCCTTTCATGGTGGTTGAAGTCACCTACATTTTCCAGTGGTTCTTCTGAGGGGGAAAGCTTATGGTCTTCTCTGAATTCCAGTGGAAGTTCTTCTTCTGTCTCATCGCTAGGAAAAATGAGGAAAGAAGTCCTTGAGGCTCGTACCCTGCAGCCCGATGACCTGGACAAACTCTTGGCAGGAGTGAGGCATGACTGGCTGTTTCAGAGACTGGAAAATACAGGCGTTTTTAAGCCCAGTCAACTCCAACGAGCTCACAGTAAGTGCAGCCTTCTCCGTCTATACAGATGCTGAAATCCTCTACTTCTGGGGCCCTCTGAAAATCTTGTTGTATAGACCCCTTAAAGCTCATGACAGGGCTGAGTTGTGGCTCAGTGGTAGAGCACTTGCCTAACACATGTAAGGCGCTGGGTTCCATCCTCAGCACCACATAAAAATAAACAAAGGTATTGTGTTCATTTACAACTGAAAAATATTTAAAAAAAAAAAAAAAGCTCATGACAAATGTTTTATTCTTTGTTGTACTTTGTGAGTTCCACAGAGAAATGTAAACTGCAGGGGCCTCCCTCACCCTTTGTGTGACAGACCTTAATGGTGACCAAGAATAGAGATTTGCTCAAGCTTACTTCACATACTTGAGGTTTGCTCTAAGGACATGTGAGGCAGAAAGGGAGACAGGAATTTCAGAGGCCTTAACACAGCTATCATTCGGGATTTAAAACTGCTCTGGACAGTCAATCATTCATTCAGCATCTGTCTCCTCTTTTACTTCTCTTTACCAACTAGCTGACTTCTATTTTTCCTTATTCAAATTCAAGAAAAAGGAGACTGAGGCAGGAGGATCTTGAGTTCAAAGCCAGCCTCAGCAACTTAGTGAGGCCCTAAGTAACTTAGTAAGAGCCTGTCTCAAAATTAAAAGGGCTGGAGAGAGATGGCTCAGTGCTTAAGCACCCTTGGATTCGATCCCTGATACTTAAAAAAAAAATCAAGGAGAAGAGTCTTAGTTAAATATCATCTTTCTTGTGGACAGAGATTTTCACACTTGTCCATCTAAGCATTTTCTTACCAGCCAAAGAATTGATTATGTGCCCTTTTCTCTTAGTCTCTTTGGGCTTCTATAACAAAAACTGTAAACAAAGGAGATTATAAACAACAGAATTTTATTTCTCATAGTTCTGGATCCTTGGGAATTCCCAGTGTCCTCACAGGGTGGAAGGGTCAAAGAGCCTCATTTATAAGGTCACAACCCCATGGCTTAATCACATCCCAAAAGCTCTACCTCCTAATACCATCATCTTGTGGGTTAGGATTTCAACATTAGAATTCTAAGGGGACACAGATGTTCAAACTATAGGACCCCTATGGTTGCAATTAGCAGAAACTTCTTATTAAAGTCATTTCCTACAGCAGGGACCCTGGGCTGGACCACCCGCAGTCAATATGTCTATTACAGCCTAAAAGAGAGACTGGGTGAAAGATAGCATGAAGGTTCTTCTTTCAGCCCAGAGAAACATAGTATATAATGCCTTTCCAATATACAGAAGAGTCATTTGAATGAGGGAAAAAATCTATTGTAAAGTGCATCTCAGAAGAAATAAGCTATGTTGATTACTAAATACTAGATATGAAGTAGTAGTTCTTAATCAGGGCACTGCAGTAGAATCTCCTAGAAGCTTTTTAAAGCTTCCAATGCCTCATCCCAGACAGCCCCATCCGGTGGGTCTGGGGAATGAATCCAACCATCAGGATGTCCTGGGAACTCCCTAATGATTTCATATAAAGCCAATGTAGAGGGCTTCTGCTTGAAAGCATTCCAATATTTTGCCCACCCTTGAAGGCACCTTGAAGTCAGACTAAAATACACATCAGGTTGTTGCTAAAAAAAGCAAAATTTTGCTAGTGATAGGGTTTTCCCTACTCCTGTGAGATGCTGAAATTTCAGAATCACATTTCTTCAAATTAGGTAATTGCCTTATTGTTATTTTTTTCCTCATTTCAGTTTGTCTTTACTTTTTACAATAAACTTAATGCATGTATTCAATACAACCTATTTCAGATGTACAGAACCGACAGTTATAAAGCAAAACTATGCATAGCATACACCCAGGCCCTCCTACCCAAGGAACACGGAGGCCCTGTCGTAAAGCTYCACATACCACTGTGAGAATGGTCTCACTTATTTCTAGTATGCTGGGAAGCCTCCCAGGGTTGCTCAGGGGCAATCTTGACAATTACCCGTCAAGGTGCCTACAGTCTGCTCAAGCTAAATGCCTACACCATTCTTCCCTGCAAAATGTACCTTTTTATTGTACTTCATTAACTTTTTAATAGTTAATGAAGTTCAAATAGGGCCTGGCACCTGGTTAAGTGCATTTCAATTAAAAAAAAAAATGAAGAGTTCAGATGGCTTGGTTTAGGACTCATGTTTCTTCAACTTTATTCAAGATTTGTAACATTCTTTTGAAACTTCGCCCTACTCTCTTCTTATCTCTTTTCCAGATGCTCTTTTGTTAAAATATTCCAAGAAGTCTGAACTGTGGACAGCCCAGGAAACTGCTGTGTATTTGGGAGATTACCTAAATGTGAAGAAGAAAGGCAAGCAAAGAAATGCCTTTTGGGTTCATTATCTCCATCAGGAAGAAACGCTGGGAAGGTATAACTGAAAAAATCCCTATGTCACCAATGTAAAATGGGCTCATCTTCCCATTCTGCTAAGTACTCATTCATGAGATTTTTGAAAGGGCTGGGAAAATGGCCAAAATGTATGTTTTCAGATTTCTACCCTTTTCTCTTTTTATCACTAGTTAGTTAATGACAGCTACCATTATTGAAGACCATGTTATATCAGCCATTTTGCTGGATGTCCTATATTCATCATCTCAAACTCACTGGGAAACATTTTTAGGCCCACTATGCAGATAAGAAAAATGGAGTTCCTGGTCATATGGTAGGCCAGAGAGCCTTACTCACTAAAAATGCTGGCAAAGAGGCTAAACTATGGAAACCACACTTTTAAATAAGTAGGTGAGTCTACAGAAAGAAAAAAAAAAGGCAGGAAGATTCTCTATCCTCTGGCCAGGAATGAAGCATGTCCAGGGATGTAAGTATTCACTGGACCATTTAGGTACCCTCCATAGGAGTTTGGGGCAGGGTGGGATGGGGGACAGTTAGAGACAAAAGGTATACACAAAGAATAGTGAGTTTAGAGGCCACTCATGGAAAGTAGGGATTCAGTGACGGCACTTTCTCAATGGAATGATTGTCTCTTTCTTATTTTTTTCCATTTTTGGTACTGGGGATTGAACCAGGGGTACTCTACCACAGGGCTACACCCTGAGTCCTTTTTATTTTTTGTTTTGACATAGGGTCTCACTAAATTATTGAGGTAGCCTCAAACTTGTAATCCTCCTGTCTCAGCCTCCTAAGCTACTGGGATTACAGGTGTGTGCAACCACTATCAGCTTTCAGAAATATTATCTTTTAAAAATTCCACTCCTGCTGGACGCAGAGGTACATGCCTGTAATTCCAGCAACTCCAGAGGCTGAGACATACATGCTGATGAGGATCACAAGTTTGAGGCAAGCCTCAGCAACTTAGCAAGACCCTAAGCAACTTAGTGAGATCCTTATCAAAATAAAAAAAAATGTTCAGTGGTTAAGTGCCCTTGGGTTCAATCCCTAGTACCAGAAAACAAAAAATAAACAAACAACAAAAGCATGCACTGAGGAAAGTGTCTAAAAAAATTTTCTACTTGGCCTTAGTTCTTTTTTTGTTCATAATATTTTTATACCTTTATTTTCTTTATTTATATGTGCTGTATGTAGCTTATTTATATGTGCTGTATGTAGCTTATTTATATGTGCTGTATGTAGCTTAGTGCCAAGCACTCTACCACTAAGCTACATACAGCCTCAGTGCTGGCCTTAGTTCTTGATGAAAACTTCAAACAGAACCTCATCTAAAAATTAGTTCATTGATTTTAAGGCCTAACTTTATACTATTTATATTCTTAAATGACCTATAAGCCAAAACTTTAAAAAAGTTTATCTTATTCTTTATTTATCTAAATCCAAATAATGTAAGAAATAAAATGGGAAAAGCTGAGTGCGGTGGTGCACACCTGTAATCCTAGTGGCTCAGGAGGCTGAGGCAGGAGGATTGCAAGTTCAAAGCCAGCCTCAGCAAATTAGCAAAGCTATAAGCAACTCAGTGAGATTCTGTCTTTAAATAAACTACATAATAGGCCTGGGATGTGGCTGAGTGGTAGAGCACCCCTGGGTTAATCCCCAGTCCAAACCAAAAAAAAAAAAAAAAAAGAGAGAGAGAGAAAAGGGGAAAGAGAAGAGACACAGAAAGAAAGAAAGAAGTTTAATGCCTCTTTAAACAGTAAAAGTTGGAAAGCGGACTATTATAACAGTAAACATGCAAATGCACTTAACCAGGTGCCCGGCCCTATTTGAAGTGGTTCACAGACTGATTCAGTTAATCCTCCAAAAACCTAATGAGGTATATGCTATTATTGTCCCCATTTTATACATGAAGGAACTGAGGCACAAAGATGTTAAAAAAAAAAAACTTGCCCAAAGTCACATATGTAAGTGGTCAATAAAGGCATTTTGAGCTGAATTGTACCTTGCAAACACCCCAAAAATCATATGTTGAAGTTCCCAGTACTCAGACTATAAATCAAGTCATTTCAGAGGCAGTTAAGATGAGGCCACACTGGGTGAGCCCCTAGCCCAGTGTAATTGGTTTTTTTAAAAAGGGAGACATCTGGAGATAGGTGCACACACAGAGAATACCAAGTGAGAATTATAGTATGCAGCCACAAGGCAAGGAACTTCCAGAAACAATGAGGGGGCCCTGGAACAGATCCTTCCTTATTGCCTTCAGAGGGAGCATGATCCTACTGGCACTTTGACTTTGGACTCCTAGGCTCCAGAACTGTGAGAAAATCAAGTTCTGCTGTTTAAGCCGCTTAGTTTGTGTACCTTGTTACATCATTCTTAGGAAACTAATGTACCAGTAAATATCCTAGGAGGATCTAAGATGAGAAATAAATTGAGACTGAGAGACATGGAGAATGGAATGAGAAGGTTTAATATGCACCTGATCAGAAGGAGATAACAGAGCCAATAGAACAGGAGCAATGTTTGATTAGAAAATTTCTGGTAATTTCCCAGAATTCAAAAAACACTAATCTTCAAATACAAGAATCACAATTAATCTCAAGGAGTATAGAAACAGAAACAAGAAGGAAGGAAGAAAGAAATGAAGGCAGACAATCATAAATCTACTTCTGCATAATAGTCCAACTTCAGAAAACCAAGGACAGATCTGGAATGTAGAACATTCCAGTGGTAGAACACCTTTCTAGTATCCACAAGGTCCTGGGTTCAATTCCCAGCACTGAAAAAAAAATTAAATAAATTTCAGAATACCAAGGACCAAAAAAAAGACTCTTAAAAGCAGTATATATGGGGGGTGGGGGGGTGGGAACAGAGTACATACAAAGAAATGTCAATGAGACACACATCTGATTTTGCAGCAGCAACAATAGAAGTCAGGAACTATGGAAGTCAGGCACTTGAAACTGTCTTTCATGGAAGGCAGAATAAAGACATTTGCAAATTAAAAGAAAAGTGACTGTGAGAGTCCACCACTAATTCTCACCAGAGAGAAATGATTCCAATAAAATGGTTCGGAGTCCAAATGGAAGGAAGGAATGATTCTCTGCCCCCAGATTGGTGATCCCACACCTAGAGCTGGAGGTCCCCTGGCAGAATATTCAGGAAATACTTCAGTACTGGCACCCATAGGTTTTACCCCTTTGTGCACATCTCTGGCCACAGTCACAAAGCAAAATTCTGAATTGCTCCAGATCTTCTGCCCATCTCGGGTTCTGTCTAGAGCAGAACTGCCTGAAGTGCTGGACTCTGGCTGCTATGACCACTGCTCCTCTGTGGGCTGCTTTCTCGTGTCATGTAGGCTGCTCCTCTGCAGCCTCCTGTGAGAGTTGCTTCCTGATCCTCAGGAGTCTGAATGGCCCAAACTGTTGCCTCCTTAGATTCCATTATATATTGGATTCAGAAACTTCTGGAGAGAGTTTACTCTCATTGAGGTCTATGATTCTGACAATTTCCTTTGTTTTTTAGAGGTCATTCCAGACACATGTGAAATTGCTCATAAATCCACATCAGCTGATAGCATGCAGTAAAATGTAGTGCTTACTGTCTTACTTAATCATTTACTGACTTGTATCTTTTTTCTTCAACTGTGATGTGAGCCCTGGAAGATCTACAAACAATGTCTCACACTTTCAAAGCACTTAGGACTAGCATATTGTTGTGAATGTAATAGGTGTTGATAACCAGTAAGTGTTCATTGGGATGAAATACGCATACAAGAAAGGGATGGAGAGAGGCTTTGAATTGAATAACTGGTGTATATAAGGCCACACTGCAGGTAGTGAAAGATCTGGCTCCGGAATCTAGGCACTTCCCCACCTACCATGTTGAATACCTTGGCTTACAAAAGAATCAGAAGACCCCCATTAAGTGGACACCTTTTATAATTGGTATTATTCTGGGTATTATTCTAGCATTGCTCAGGTGGTTCTGACAAAAGCATTTGAATCACAAAGTAAGTCAAGATAATTAATATTGACCAGATAAGAGAGAAAAAGTAATATCTTTCAAGCATTTTTGAGATCTCTTTTTAATCTTCTCAATTTTATTCTGTAGTAAAAAAAAAATATCACTTTACTATGTTATGTGGATTTTCTCTATTCATAGATATGTTGGGAAAGAATATAAAGAGCAGAAGGGGCTCTGGCACCACTTCATTGATGTGGAGCGGCAGATGACTGCCCAGTACTACGTGACAGAGTTTAACAAGAGACTCTATGAACAAAAGATCCCAACGCAGATATTCTACATCCCCTCCACAATATTACTGGTAAGGTTTTTAAGAGCAAGGGTTGTGTTAAACAGACCTATAAATACAGGTTAGCCAGGTGCAGTGGTACATTGCATGGCTGTAATCCCAGATACTTGGGAAGCTGAAGCAGGCGATCTCAAGTTCAAGGCCAGCCTGAGCAACTTAGCAAGTCCCTGTCTCAAAATAAAACAAAAAGGGGGCTAGGGTTGTGGCTCAGTGGTAGAGCGCTCAACTGGCACGTGTGAGGTTCGATCCTCAGCACCACATAAAAATAAATAAAGTAAATGTACTGTGTCTATCTACAACTAAAGAAAACAGGCAGGGAGCGGGGGAGGGGGGTTGAGGGGGAGGGCTGGATGTAGATCAGTGTTAGAGCCCTCACCTAGCATGTGTGTAAGCCCTGGGTTCAATCCCCAGTACCACACACAAAAATAATAATAATAATTATAATAATTTTGATTTTTATTGCCAGTCTGTCTACCTCTACCATTGTTCTAGTAAGAATCCAATAAACTCAGATTTCTAGAATCCTTCATCTGTTTCATCAATTTCATGTTCTTAGACAGACATGTAAGAAATGTGACCCTCCATCCCCATCAGTGCATCATTTAGATCTTCCAAGTCACATTTGTATATCTGTTGATCCTGCTATCTGATCCCTCATGGTCAAGGTAGCATTTTTAGTAGACTTTCTTGTTGTATTGTGTCTTACTTTCAGAGAAAGAAAAGACCCTAGAAATCATACCTAATGAGTTATCCCCTCAACACTACTCATAAATCCCATTTTACTTCTGTTTGTCCCCACCTCCTTCAACCAGCTGATACCAAATTATAGCATAAACATCTTTACTTTTAAAAAAAATAATTATCATCCTTTTAATATGATTTAAATAATTGTGAAAGTTATTAGATTTGGCCCAAGTCTGTCTTCCTCTGTTTTCTGCCCATGGCTGTACCTTCTGGGGCCATTGATAATTCTCTTTTCACTAAATATTCCTTGGAATAGATAAAGGTGCCCAGCATAATGGAGAAAGCTTTAATCCCAGCTATTCAGGAGGTTGAGGCAGGAGGCTCAGAATTTTAGGGCCAATCTGGACAGCTTAGAAAGACCCTGTCTCAAAATAAATTTTAAGAAAGGCTGGGGATGTATCTCAGAGGCAGAGCACTTGCCTAGCGTGGGCAAGGTCCTGGACTCAATACCCAGCACTGCCAAAACTAATAATTAATTAATTAAGGTAAATATCCCTACTGAGTTCTCTCTCTCTCTCTCTCTCTCTCTCTCTCTCTCTCTCAGTTGGCAGTGGGCCTTTATTTTTATTTTTTATGTGGTGCTGAATATCGAACCCAGTGCCTTACACATACTAGGCAGGTGCTCTACCACTGAGCCACAACTCCAGCCCCTGAGTTTTCTCTTCTTTGAATATAGAATATCCTCCTCCCTAAATATATTAGACTCAATACATTCATACATACCATGATTTTTTTCCATTGTCAGAGATATTTTTAACCTTTTATTGTTCTTAATAATTATAGCCATCTTCCAGTTTTCACCATCTTTATGTCACATACTGTACCAGGCATTTTTCAAACATTAATCTTTAAAACAACTCTGCAAAGTAGATCACATCACTCAGAGATGACCGAATTGATATTCCAACCCAGAGTCCCATAGCATGATCTGTTCTTATATACCCTGGCAAGCTAGCCCCAGGTAGGTCATTTCATGACCTAATTTTTTTTTCAAGTAATCTCAGTTATTCAGAAGGTTGAGCGGGAAGATCAGAAATTTAGGGCCAATTTATTTATTGGTACCAGAGATTGAACTCAGGAGAATACAACTACTAAGCGACATCCCCATACCTGTTTTGTATTTTTAGAGACAGGGTCTCACTGATTTGCTTAGCACCTCACCATTACTGAGGCTGGCTTTGAACTCACGATCCTCCTGTCTCAGCCTCCAGAGCCACTGGGATTACAGGCGTATGCCGCTGTGCCTGGCTCTTCATGGTCTAATTTTTAAGTGAGCACTTTACTATATGAATAATAATAACTTTAGGTTCTGTTATATGCTACATACAATGCTGAGCACTTAACCACACTTTATCATATATTCCTTTTAACAAAACTAAAAGGTAGTTATTGAATGTTAATAGTATACACTTTAGAGGTGTGGAGACTGAGGTCTAGAGAAGAAGAGTAACAAAATCCAAACTGAGAGTTATCTATCCACCTCCAGAGGCCATGGCCTTAACCATTATACTGTCTCTGTTTCTATTTTTCAGATTTTAGAAGGCAAGACAATAAAGGGATGTATCAGTGTGGAGCCTTATATCCTGGGAGAATTTGTAAAATTATCAAATAATGCCAAAGTTGTGAAAACAGAATACAAAGCCACAGAATATGGCTTGGCTTATGGCCATTTTTCTTATGAGTTTTCTAATCATAAAGATGTTGTGGTTGATTTACAAGGTATGAGAAACTGGAATAATGTTTTATTTCAAATATTACTTGCTTGTGAATGTAAGTTTTTGAAAGTTTTCCTTAATCATTTTAAGTAGATTATTTAGTATATAGGACATTATTTGGAATTAATTCATTTTACTATGTGTAGTAAATGATTCTTGAAAGAACACAATGTCTGATACTTCTATAAGTGTACATTGTGTCACATAATCAATGAGGAGGTCTGACTCTTATTTGTTAGTTTTAATTCCAGGGCAAAATCCAGAACAGTATTTTTTACTTCCCTCAAGCAGATTTGCACAATGTAGATTTCTTATTGATTTTTTTCACATGTCAAAATCATTTTTCCATTTTTATTTTCTCCAGCTCTTTACCCTTACTAAAAGGGTAGTGTGGAGCTTCATAATTGGGACCATTATGGAAGAGAAAGCTGTGTGTACTTACATCTGACTTCTTTTAAAATCTGCACTAATGTATTTATTTGTCTGGTGTTGCACTCATCAGAGGTCTTATTCTACACTTGGTGTAAATGGCAAATGTGATTTATTAAAATTATCTTAGTAATGCCCACATGACCACCTCAAGACCTTCCCTATTCTATCTCCACATGATTTCTTACTTTGTCATATTAAATGTTTTAATTATTTGTAGTTTATCAATCTGTCCTCCTTCACGAGATTGCTCGCTCAATGAATACAAAGATTGTTAGCTTGTTCTCTGCCGTATCCCGTTTCTAAAAATGATGTTTCACAGTTTCCACTCAGTGAATATCTGTGGCCTAGACAGATGACTACATGAATCAATGACTAAGGCATTAAAGAAGCTTCCAAGTCATCAAAGTAAAACGCAATATTGTGATTGTCATCATTATTCTAAGTGTTTTATATTGCTCTCTAATGCCTTGAAATTGGTGATCTCGTATGTCAACTTAAACAAAAATAATTAGGCAATATTCAGTTCTTCTTAAGCCAAGCATTGGGTTATGCAGCCCAGACTCCTTAGCAAAAACTTACTAACATATAAACCATAAGATGACCAAATTTTAAAAACACCTCTTTAAGCATTTGTGTGTGTATATGCTTTTCCCCTAMAATTCTTGATTGACATTTGTAGGGAACTTAATACTCAGATGCATCCATTTCTCTTTTAGGTTGGGTGACTGGTAATGGAAAAGGACTCATCTACCTCACAGATCCCCAAATTCACTCTGTTGATCAGAAAAATATCACTACCAATTTTGGAAAGAGAGGAATTTTTTACTTCTTTAATGACCAGCATGTGAAATGTAATGAAATATGCCACCGTCTTTCTTTGACTAGACCTTCAATGGGGAAACTAAACAAGTCATAGACTGTGGATTGGCAAAGAGACAGACCTCTGTGCTCACCAACATCAACTTCTCCTCTCCATCTGGGCAACAGAACATGGCACAGCCCCTCTCCTTAAGGCTAGTTGTGGCCAATGGTTTGTGAGAGGAACTGATGAGTATCACTTTCAGGCCTAGATTTAATTCTAGTACAATATCCTTCAGGGTTTCCTTTCTCTGTCACAGTTACCAAGAATGTGTCAGGAGGTAGCTACTTAGGAGCACAGGTCCCACAGTGATGGCAATGTGGGAAAGAGCCCTTCTGATCCACAAAGATACAAAACACTGCCGAGAAATAAATTTGGTGCTTAAACCAGTGAGATTTTGGAGCTTGCTGTCACTATCTGTTGAGACTGACACTACTGACTTTTTTCCTATTGAATTATGCATGTTATATATGTTTAAAAATATTCAGGGCTTTGTGATATGAATTCGATATTTTGTTTGTATTTTGACATTTGATTTTGCATAAAACATTTGTCTGCAATTTTGTGTTAATGGTTGAATTTATCAATCTTTTCTTTGATGATTTCTTGGCTATAGATGATACTTAGAACTTTCTTATACTCTTGGGTTTCTTTCCTTTTAATCTCCCATGTTTTCTTCTAGTGTATTAGTAATCCATGAAAGACATGACAGAGAATGGTAGATTATCATGGCCACCATAGTCCACACCTTGCCCTACACAGATCTATGTCTTTACTCAGGTCTAGGCTGCAGCTCTTCCGTGGTCTCACTGAAAGAAATATACAGAAGGGACACTGGTAAGATATGGTGATTCCATTTCACTTCCTCTCTGGGACCATAAGTGGTGCTCACTCTCTCTGTCCTCCACTATTCAATCTAAGTTTCCCTCAGCCTTAACTACTATATCGGAAAGTGTGGATGCCTTACCTCATGGTGGGACTCAAGCTTCTATAGATGGAGAGGTTGGGTACTTATTCTTCTCAGTTTGGGGTTGCTGCCCCGGTCTCTTCACAATTGCAGTTGGAACAGGCAGATCTGATCTGCTCCAGGGAGCACTCTGACTGGCACCCCATCTTCCACCCGGCTGGGTCTACCAGTGTTCCTGGGGAAGCCATGTTTTCCCTTGTATTCTCAGCCCACAGCCACGCATGGCAAGGATACTAGTCTCAAAATTCGTCTAACAGAGGACTCTGGCACAAAACCTTTCTACTGACTTGATAAAACTTTCTTATTACTGTTGTGGTACAAGATTCCCCTTGCCCTATCCTCCTTTCTTTGTCCTCTCTTTTCACAGGTGTTGAGCTTGTTGCAGTCTTCTTGCCAACTCTAATGCTATCCTATTGGTTCTCTGTGATCATTTGACCCCAAAAATATCTTACATGTCTAATCTTTCCCTAGCATATACATATAAACATGTATACTAATACATGTTTATTTTTTAAAGTTTTATAGATAGATAGATAGATAGATATAGATATAGATAGCTATGTGGATATATATGTATATATATATATAAATATGTGGATATATTATGGATATGTGTGTATACATATATATATTCATTAATCTCATTATATATATTCATTCATCCTATTAACAAAATAAAGGGAGGGAATAATAATTTCAGCAGATGCAGAGAAGTAATTTAATAAAATTCTAGATCATCTCATGTTTTTTTAAAAAAAATAACTGAAAACTAGGCATAAAGGGAAACTTTCTGGGTCTGATAAAGGGTTTTTTAAACTTGAAAAGAAAAGCAGCAATATTATCATTTATAGTGAAGCAATTTAACCTTTCCATTTGAGAAGGGGAACAAAAATTTTCCCACTATCCCAACTCTATTCAGTATTATAGAGGAATTCCAACTAATAAACATAATAGAAGAAGTGATAGAAGAAGAAAATCACAACTTTGCATCCCTTTAATGAAATAATTGATCTGGACAAAGCACTTTAATAACTGCTAATACTATTGGGAGAAAGGTTGAAGAGGAACTTTATAATGGAGGTATTAGGCTAACACTACTTACATCTCAGTCAATTTTTTTAAAGAAGGAAAACATCTTTGGACACTATTTTTATATTTACTTTATTTTATTAAGGCATATTATTTGTGCATATTAATGGAGTTTGGTGTGATAATTCCATACACGCATACAGCATGCCCTAATCAAATCTACCCGTTCTTTTTCCATTGTCACACACACACACCCTTCCCAATCTCTAGTAATCACTAGTCTACTTTCAGAATGATATTCTTTCAACTTCCACATATGAAAGAGAACATGTGTTACTTGTCTTCCTGTGTCTGCTTTATCCCATTTAACATAATGTCCTCCATCCATTTTACTGCAAATGACAGGATTTCATTCTTATTTATGACTAAATAATATTCCATTGCATATATCATCAATCCAATCACTAAAAGCGGAATAACAAGTCAGTGGTAAAATAACATTTGGGGAACAACTGTGGATTTTTAATATGGGTTTGATGTTAGATGAAATTGGTAAAGTAATATCTTAAGTACTCAAGCCAGAGATAGGGATGTATTTCAGTGGCAGAGCCCTTGTCTTGTGTACAAAGTCCTGGGTTCAATCTTCAGTACTCTAAAAATACAATAAAATACTCATGCCAAAGCAAAAAAAAAAAATAGGGCAAGAATTCAATTTTGTGATGATGTTGAACCAGTGTTATGGTCTGGATGTGAGCTGCCCCCCAAAAAGTCATATATGAGACAATGAAGAAGATTCAGAGGAGAAATTATTGAGCTGTGAATCTTAACCCAATCAGTAAATTAATCACCTGATGGGACTAATCGAGTGTTAATTGAAGGCAGATTGGGTATGACTGGAGGAGATGGGGCATTGGGGTTTGTGGATATATATTTGTATTTGGCAAGTGGAGATCTCTCTCTCTCTTCCTGATCCATCATGTGAACCGTTTCCCTTTGCCACACTCTTCCTCCATGATGTTCAGCCTCACCTTCAGCCCCAAGGAATGGAACTGACCGTCTATGGACAGAGACCTTTGAAACTGTGAGCGCCCCCAAATAACCTTTCCTCCTCTACGATTGTTCTGATCAGATCTTCTAGTCATGAGGTGAAAGAGCTGACTAAAACAACTGGGAAAATGCATACTTGAGAATTCATTTTACATGTCTTTCTGCTTCTATACATATTTTTAAGTCTTCATTAGTTTTTTTTTTTCTTAAATATAAGGTAATAGGAGAAAACAGCAAGTAAATCTTAAGAACAAATAGAGATGATGAAAAATCAAGATCAGGGCTGGGGATGTGGCTCAAGTGGTAGCGCGCTCACCTGGCATGCGTGCGGCCGGGGTTCGATCCTCAGCACCACATACAGACAAAGATGCTGTGTCCGCCAAATACTGAAAAATAAATATTAAAAAAAGTTCTCTCTCTCTCTCACTCTCTCTCACTCTTTCTTAAAAAAAAAAAAGAAAAGAAAAATCAAGATCATATCAAATGAATTTGTTAGGCAAAACTATAAGGAGAAGTGGTCAACAATGAAAAATTCTATAGAAAAATCAGAGAATTTTTCTAACAAGAAAAGAAGACAGTGAAAAGAGATTGCTGACAAAGCAGGTAGAGGCCATTAATTGACAGAGTGGCTTTTCAGATGCTGTAGAACAGAAATCAGCAAAGTAGTCCATGGGCCAAACACACTATGAAAAGTCATTGGATTTTATAAATGAAGTTTTATTGGAACACAGTTATCCAGTTACGTATGACCTTGGACTGCTTTTGTGTCACAATAGCAGAGTGCAGTGGTGGTGACCTAGGCTCCAAGTGAAAACTATTTTTTATTTGGAGGAACATAAAAAGTTCATCAATCCCCATTGAAGCAGACAAAATGAGGGGGGGGGGAATCAGGATTTTATATTTACAAAAGAATCTGGATATTTATTTATTTATTTATTTGACACTAGGCTTTGAACCCAAGGGCACTGGGTTACCACTGACCTACATCCCCGATCCTATTTATTTATTTATTTAAAGATAGAGTCCAAATTGCTGAGGCTGGCCTCAAACTTGCAATCTTCCTACCTCAGCCTCCTGAGTCACTGGGATTATAAATGTGTACCACAACACATGACTAGGAGTATAGATATTTCCTAGCCACATCCACAAAAGACCACCAAAAAAAAAAAAACCACRAAAGAACAATGATGGGTAAAGAAGTTAGAAACTGGATGTGATAGAGACATAAATTGATAGAAAGCACATATAAGAACATACTTCTCTGTGAAGGGTTAGATCTCCATTTGATTTGTAGTCCCTGCACTAGGGAGGCTGGAAACTGAGCCAGGAGGATGGCTTGAGCCTGGGATTTCAAGCCAGTCAGGGTCACCTAGTCAGTTCAAACAAAACCAACTGGGATATCTGCTAAGTCAGATGAGACTGACAGAGTCAGGAATCTAAGGAAATAAAAGCTTTGTAGCAGTGCACATCTCTGTATTATAAAGAACAGAAATAGAGAATTTTTAAGATCATTATATTGTCATGAGCAACTAATAAAAAAAAAAAAAAGAAAATATATCTGCTAGGAAATTTATCCAGCAATGGCCTGGTCAGCCTTGGGCCAACACTACCTTTGTTAATGATCCTTGGAACCAAGCATTTTTGTTTAAAAACAAATGATTTTGCCTTTAAAAATCCCCCCTTGCCGCAAACTCCTTGATAGGCCCATACATACTCTCAGTGAAATGTTCATTACTGAATAAATTTATTGATCCTCTGGAAAAAAAAATCTCTTTAAATTTGTGTCTATGCAAATGCCCATCATCTTAAGAAATGAAATGTTGTTGAAGCCTCCATCCCTGATCTACCCATTCCTCTATTCAAGAGGAGACCATGGCCCAAACATTGTGGGTCATCAATCCTGTTCATGATACTACATGATGTTACTTTTTATTTTATTTAATGTTATATGTTTATATATCATATAAAGTAACAATAAATAACCAGTATTTTTAAATATTCTTAATAAAAAATCAAAAGTATTTTAAGCTTCATGTAAGTATTAAAAGGGCAACTGGGGTTTTTTTCTCTCGACATCAAAAATTTATTAAAATAGATAAAACTTTTCTTCTAATACAGAAAATATAAATAATTGCCCTTTGGAGTGAGTTTATTAAGTGTTAGGATGCTTACTTTTTACTTTAGGGGGAAAAATCTGTCAAGATACGATAACATTTTCACCTTCTTAGTTCTTCCAACATAGCTCATATTTATATATATTTTTTTTTCATTCTTAGTCTTACCTTTAATATCATATAGACACAAGCCARTGATATTATTTGTCCTTCAACACCAGGGATGTCATAAATTCAATTTATAACATATAGAGTCAATATTCTCTTTTTAATCATTTTTAACTTATTTTTTTAGTTAGCAATATAATTTTGTGGGAT